ACAATTTCCCAGCCCCACGTGCTCACCCAGCCCGCTCTTCAACAAAAGTTTCAACAGTTTTGTGCCCATTTGCAGTCTGGGGTGGAATTAGCATTGCCAAGCATCCCGGCCAGCTCTGAACCCACATTCCTTGATCTCTTTGTGCCACTCAAAGCCAGATATTGATGCCTGAAAACAAGATACATAAGCTTCATTATTTAAGTGGCTTTTCCTTAAACAAGAACGCTTTAATACTTAACAAGGTAGGGAAGCGACATAATTTAAAATCTATGCGAACAGAAATAAGAAATTATTTGTAGCGGTCGCCACTTTTACACCCAGCAACAAAGAAAGACATTCACAATTTTTTGCCTTCCCAGGGCCCCAAAATACAACACAGGCCTGTTCTCCTGCTCCGGACAGAAGCTGCAGCTGAGGCTGCTCTTTATCAACTTTTCTTTCTCAATATTTACCAAGCAATAAATCTTTTTTCCCCTAAGACAACTGACATTCGAATCCTGTTCATGGGGAGGCTTGTTATCCAAATAATATTAAATAAGCTGCTTCATTCTCTACAGAAAAAGTATTAAGATGCCTTTTTTCTTCCCTTGTGGGTCAATATTGAAGAAGCGGGGGGCGGTTTCCATCCGAGGGGAGGGCAGCTGGCTGCCTGCAGGGAGTTGTCTCAGTCCAGGGGCCTCCGGCTCGGGGAGCCACCAGGGGCTGTGTCTCTGTCACAGGGGCGCATGTGCTAATTGGGGGAAACTTGTCTGTTTTGGCCCAAAGGGCTTCCCACAGTGGCTGCGCACCAGCAGGGGCCAGCCCGTCTGCAGCGTCACCTGGGCTGCAAATGAGGACTGGGTGGGACAGAAAGTGAGGCCAGACCCGCATGCATCCTGCCCATTTCTAAAGTGGAAGAAGTCACCTTGGACACGGATTCCAATTCCATTGTCCCGCAAGCCAGTGCCACTTCCTCCTCCTGTGACAGGTGTGTGTGGTGTCAGGAGAGAGTGCCGGCTAGAGGCATCAGGTGTCACAAGTGGAGGGTCTGGGGCCCACCCTCTGCCCACGACTGGCCCCAGTGTCTGCGCTCGTGGAATATCTCCTACTCCCTGTAATTCTATTCATCAAGGATCGGAAGCCAAGGAGGGGGCTTTTGGGAACCAAGAACTTCCAGCCGTCAGAGACCACACGGGAACACTGGCTTGATCTTTATTTTTTTAACTTTCTTTAAATTTTTTTTTTAGTTTAAGTATGGTTGTGTTAGTTTCAGGTGTACATACAACAGTGATTCAGTTTTTTTTGCAGATTATATTCCATTATAGGTTATTACAAGGTATTGGGTATATTTCCCAGTGCTGTACAGTAAATTTTTATCACTTATCTCTTTTCTGTATAGTGGTTTGTATCTGTTAATCCCATACTCCTAATTTGCCCCTCCCCCTTTCCTCTCCCCTTTGATAATGACGACTTTGTTTTCTATGTGAGTTTGTTTCCATTTTGCACAGACATTCATATGTATTACTTTTTAGATTCCACATATAAGTGATATCATATAGTACTTGTCTTTCTCTGACTTATTCCACTAAGCGTAATATTCTCTGGGTCCATCCACACTGCTGCAAGTGGGGGTATTGCATTCATTTTTATGGCTGAATAATATTCTGCTGTATATATACACCACATTTTCTTAACCCAATCATCCATTGATGGGCACGTGGGTTGCTTCTATAATCCTGGCTTGATCTCCATGGAAACTAAGCAACTCACTCATGGAGAATCTTCTAGAAAAAAATTTTATTACTATTAGTAGTAATAGATAATATTTACACAGATGTTTTACTGAACCAGGCTTCATTCTAAAGTTCTGTCGTATGAGTTAATCCTCACAATAGTCCCATATGATTATGACTGTTTATACTCAAGGAAGCTGAGGCACTGAGAGGTTAAATAATTTCCCCAGGGTCACATGGCTGGGGACTGAAATGCCTGAAGCCACTGTCTTCCCTTCCTGCTCCGTGGCTGTGGCAGGTCCAGGTCATCTCTGAGGGCTGCCATATCCTGAGCTGGTGACAGAGCAGGGCTGGACACCAGACGCCCCCTCTACTGGGAGAGTCGTGGCCCGAGCCTTGGGCACCACCCTGAGCCATCTTGTCTCCTCCCAGTCCTCTCGTCCATCTTTATCCCGCCTTTACTCTGACAGTCTATGGGTGACACCCACACTTTGCGGCATATCCACGTTTCTGACATTATAACTCTGTAAATAAGACGTGTGTGGCTTCCTCACTAAAAACACAAGGAAACAAAATCATAATTCAGAAAATAATTGTGTTTCTATACACTGACAGCAATACATTTGAGAAAGAAAGAAAGAAAACCGTCCCATTCACAACAGCGCCAAAGCCAATAAAACACTTCAAGTCAGTCCCTCTGCCCACGGAGGGGGGAGGCCTGTGCACCGACAGCTGTGCGACTTTGGTGAAGGAAACTGAGGGAGACACCAGTGAGTGAGAAGACGGTTCACACTTAAGGGTCAGAAGAATTAACAGTGCTAAGATGCTCATATTCACCCATCTATACAAAGCTGCCTACAGAATCAATACAATCCCTGTCCAAATTCCAGTGGCATTCTTCACAGGAGCAGAAAAAACACTTGTAAACCTTGCCTGGAGCCACAGAAGACCCTGAATAGCCAAGGCGATCATGAGAAAGAGGAACAGAGCCGGAGACGTCACACTCCCTGATTTCAACCTACACTGCAAAGCTACAGTAATCAGAGCAGGGTGGTGCTGGCCAAAGAAAGACAAAAAAAGATCAGTGGAACATAACTGAGAGCCCAGAAATAAACCCCTACATATACAGTCCACTAATATTGGGCCCTGGAGGCAAGAACACTCAGTGGGGAAATGGTGTGGGAAACTGGAAAACCACGTGCGGAAGAGTGAAATTGGACAGCCCCCCATCTTACACCACTCAAAAAAAAACCTGAAATGGATTAAAGGTGTAAATTTAAGACCCAAAACCATAAAACTCCTAGGAGAACACACGGGGGGAAAGCTTTGACTCTGGTCTCAGCAGCAGTTCCGTGATACGACAATGGACGTACAAGCCCCAAGAGCAAAACTACACGGCGAGGAGCCGCATCACACCAACAGGCTCCCGCACAGCAAACAACCGGCAACATAAAAGGCAGCCTGCAGAGCGGGACGGAACAGCCGCAAGCCGCTGACCTGAGGCGAGGGTAATATTCAAAGCACATGAAGATTGTGTTGTTAGTGGCACAACTCGCTAACAACGATGACAAGGACCAACAACCTGAGTTAAAAACAGGCAGAGGAACAGAACAGACAGTTTTCCAAAGAAAATACACAGAGGGCCAACAGGCACACAGAAAGATGCCCAACTCCCCTCATCACTGGAAATGCAAATCAAAACCACAAAGAGACATCACTCACACCTGTTAGAATGGCCGTCACCAAAAAAGACACCCGATAATGAGTGTTGGCGAGGTTGTGGAGGAAAGGGAGCCCTCATGCACTGCTGGTGGAAATGCAGACTGCGAGAGCCACGATGGGAAACAGTCGCAGTTTATCCCGAAATCCCCCTTCTGGGGAAGTATTCAAAGAACTGAAGTCAGGATTTCGTAGAGATACCTGCACTCCCGTGTCCATTGCAGCATTACTCACAACAGTCAAGATACGGAATCAACCTGTCAGTGGGTGAGCGGATGAGGGAGATGTGGTAAGTCTACACAAAGGAGTATTATTCCACCACGAGAAAGAAGGAAACTTTCCCGTCTGCAACGACTTGGATGGACCTTGAGGGCATTTTGCTGAATGAAATAAGCCAGACAGAGAAAGGCAGACACTGTATGATCTCACTTACATGTGGAATCTAAAAAAGACACTCAGAAAACCAGGGTGACTTCAGGTCTGTGAAGTCTAATAATAAATTAGGAACTGAATTTTGAATGTCTATTTTTATTTCATTTTCCTAGTAACTCATTTGTACTGTATCTAATAAAACTATCCATCCCACCCATGGTAGATTGGAAATGCTTTTAAACATGTATCTTTAAGTCAGGATGTTCTGTCTCTGAACTCCCCCTGTGGACCAGTTACATCATGCATCATGGGGCAGGTGGGGCAGGAGGCTCCTGGTTGCAGGTGTCCCTCACCGCAAGTGACTGTCCTCTTTGTGGTGTGGGTAGCTTGTGTGACGTCACACGCATGAGAAGAGGCAGTTTGATGCTTTGGGTTTCCCTCTGTGGGGCTGTCAGTAGGAGAACAGTTTGGAAACAGTCCACACATGAAGACTGTGCATGTTTAATTAAGACCTCCAAGAGCACTCAAGGGTTTTCTCAGTCCTTCAGGCCAAAGCTGACTGAATTCTTCCTCGACCTGATTCTCCAATTGTCTATTTCTCAATAGCAAATCTCCCCAAAACTTGGTGTCTCCCTCAACAGACCCCTCACCAAAGAAGAGACACAAAGAGCAAATAAGCACCTGAAAAGATGCTCAAAGATCACATGGCATCAAGAAAGTGCAGATTAAAGCAACGAGACCCCACTGCACACTGTGAGAGGGACCAAACCCGGGACATGTCACCAACCGCTGACAACGACGTGGAGCAACAGGAACTCCCGTCCATGGCTGGTGGGAGTGCAAAATGGTGCAGCCATTTTGGAAGGCAGTGTGGGGCTTTCCTACACAACTAACCACACTCTTGCCATATAATCCAGCAGGCTTGCTCCCTGATGTTCACCCAAGTGAGCTGAAAATCTATGTCCGCACAAAAACCTCCACACAGATGTTTCTAGCATCTTTACCTGTAATTACCAAAACCTGTAAGCAACCAAGACCGCCTTCAGTACATGAATGGAGAAACAAACTGTGGTACATCCGTACAATGGAGTACTATTCAGCACTAAAAAAGAAATGAGCTATCAAGCCATGAAAAGACATGGAAAACTTAAATGCCTATTACTAACTGAAAGAAGCTAATCCAAGAAGGCTACATACCGTATGATTCCAACACTATGACGTTCAGCCCTGTGGAGACAGTGAAGAGACAAGTGGTTGCCAGGGCTGGGGGAAGGAAGGACGAACAGGGAGCACAGGGGACTTTCAGGGCAGTGAAGCTACTCTGAGTGGCAGTCGTGGTGGGTACTTGTCACTATATGTGTGTCCAAACCCGCAGAGGGCACAGCGCCAAGGGCGAGCCCCAGGCAAACTGGACTCCGGGTGATGATGGCGGGTCTGAGCCGGCTTGTCAGTGGTCAAGGGGAGTCTCTGGGAGGAGATGCTGACAGCAAGGCGGGGATCCTGTGCGGAAGGAAATCTCTGTACCTTCTGCTCACAGCTGCTGTGAACCTAAAACCACGCTTAAAAACTAAAGCCTTAATAAAAATACATAAATCAATGATGGTTTAAAAAAGAACCCAACAAACAAACTTAGTGACCTAAGCCAACTGCACCTCTGGTTTGGTCACGCACGTGGGGTCAGTGTGGGACCCTGCAGGGAGAGGCCCCTCCGGGCCACTCGGCGCCCGCGGGGCAGCCCGAAGGCGGGCCGAAGTCCTCGAGCTCACAGCTGGTGCTCGGCTGGGGGGTCGCGAAGGGCTGAGCCTGGAGCACGGGGGACCCTCCCCTGCCCCGCACATCTCCCAGCCAGCCTCCTTACGCGTGAGCACCGGGCTCCCAAGGCGCTGTCCGTAAGAAGAGAGCCACGCGGAAACAAAGCCAGTCCTGCCACCTCGCCTCAGGGCGCAGGCGCCACTGCGTCCTCGAAGGCACTCAGAGAGGCTCATGGGGAGGGACAGGGACTCTGCCTCTTGAAGGGCTGTGACGAGGTTCCAGAAGAGCATCTGGGGCTCAGAAATGTTGCTGCAGCCATGTTCGGAAAATGCCGCTGACCCCTGCAGACGTTTATCCACAAGAGAAACACATGCAGGGAGTTAACTGTGGTGTCGACAGAGTCTAGGTGTCAACAGATGCCCAGGGCGGCGCCAGCCTGGCCACCAGCCCGCTGACCTGGCCAAGAGCCCAGGGCGGCCACAGCCGGCACATGGTGCCACGTCCTCGGAGAAGAAAGGGTCAAAGGGATCCTTCATTCTTTCCACGCCTTCTATAGCATTGCCTGGAGCCAGAGCTGCGGCCTGTGCTCCAAAACCAAGTCCAGCTAAATGACAGGTACCCGCGTCTACCCAAACGAACCAGGACACCTCCTCCTCGCTGCCTTCCTGGACCCTCCTCTCCCGGTCAGGTGCTCCACCAGATAAGCTCTCCTCCGGAGCACAACTTGCTGTGGCTCGTAGCGGGTGGCTTGTGTCATCTGAACGCACCCACTGAGCCCCCCGAGGCCGGGGCCACGCTGCTGCTCTGTCGTCCCCCTCGCTGCCTGGCCCAGGACCAGCTCACAAGGGCTGCGGACTGTGCACTGAGAATGAGAGAAGGAGGGGTCCTGTGTTCTCTTTGTGAAGAAGAGTTAACATTCTGTTTCTATTTCACATGCATGTGTGCCCTGACTGCGGTGAACAGGCGTGTGAGGGAGCGTGTGCCTGTAGAACGGGTGTGCGTGTCTGTGTGCAAACGTGTCCGTGATGTGTGGCTATTTCCATGTCTGGGTGTGCACGTTTACGTCAAAGTCTGTGTAAGCTTGTGGGTGTGTACTTGTGTTTGTGTCTCTGACTGCATGTCTTTGTGGGCACGGATGTGTGTACACTTGCGTGTGTGCGTGTGTGTGAGTGATGTGCCCACAGCCCCCATCCAATAAGCCACTGCAGGGCGGGGTGGGGGCTCCGGGCCTCATTGGCAATTCCACCCGCATCCTCGGGGAGCCCACCCCGACTTCCTGTCCAGGACGAGGTGCCCAGCAGAGGTCAAGTGACGGCCCCAGACCCCACAGCAAGTCGGGGCGGCTCTGTGCGGCTCCGATCGCCAGGCCCACACTCCCCCCTGCGAGGCCAGGCCGCCCCTCCGGCGAGCTGGCGCGCGGCCCAGGCGCGGCCGGAGGCTCTGAGAGCCCCCCATTGTGCCTCTGAGTGGCTGCGTGCCATGGCCTGCGATCCCACAGGTGGCGGGTCTGCGCCGAGATGCCGAGATGCTGAGGGGGTCCCGAGGGGACAGGAAAGGGGGCTGCCTCCTTCTGTGTGGCTCGAGGGGGAAGGAGGGGAGAGGAAACCGAAGCTCAAGGGGCATAAAGAAGGCGCGGGTGGGCGCGCGGGGGAGCGGCCGGGCGCGGGGGCGGAAACGCACGCAGACAGCAGCGGGAAGCCCAGGGCTGGGCACCACGCTGGCCTGGGGGGCTTTTTGTTTCTCGCTCTAATTGGTGACCCCACTCTGAGCTGCTGGAAGCGGGCAGAGATGGAGAGGCTGGAGTGAGTGCGGGGAGGAGACAAGGGGCCAGCTGAGTGGCAGGACCTGCAGCCGGGAGAAGCTTACCGTCCCGGGTCCCCAGCTTTGAGGGCTGCCCCTCTGGGTGGGGGAGGGGGGCGCTGAAATTCCCCCAAACTGCGCTCCCGACAGGGCTTGCCCTGGAAAACCCACCTGCCCACCCGCCCAGAGGTGCCCTGGGGTGGGAGCCGCCGCACCCGGGCCGGCCGGATGCGCTCTGCAAGGTAGCTGGAGCATCCTTGGAAACGGAGCCACCTGGAGAAAACGGTATTCACCAGGGCTTTTCGGAACAAAATGACTAAAAACAATGCTTTCTAATAAGCTCGCAGGGGCAGGAAGGAAGACCTCCCAAGGGCCGTTTAGGTAACAGCAGATAGACAGCGAACTTCCTTCCAGCGCGGAGGCTGCGGGTTAAGACAGGCTTCGGTCACGTTTGCCAGGACAAACACAGGTTCCTGGGAGGACAGAGGGCCGAGCCGGCCGCCCGCAGGCGCCCCTCCCACCTTCCCCAGGCCCCTTCCTTGATCAACAAACATCTAAAGAGGCACAAGTTATTTTCCAGGACAATGAACCCAAAGGAGAAATTTCAAAATTGAGCAAACAGTAGAGGAAGAGGCATAAACATCTGTCCTCCTCTCCTAGACTCCCCAGGGTAACAGGGAAACGGGAAAGGGGAGCCATCCCTTAAGAGCAAAAGGTAACGGCCAGGAGAGCAACCATCAAGGGATGAGAGATTACCAAACACAGAGCATCAGGACCAGGTGGGCGGAAGCATGTTCACAGCCAGCTGTGCGGGGAAACCGTGGCTCCAAGTGCGCTAAGGGGCTGAGCTGCTGGGAGACCCCAAGGGGCCTCCAGGCGCGGTGTGGGCAGGCCCAGCGGTGGGCAAGTGTGGAAGGAGAGGGGCTGCTGGGGAGAGAGGGGTTCCACATCGATGCCCCAACCCACCGAGCTGGTCCCTCCCTGCAGCACTGCCGGACTCTGAGCACAGCCAGGGCAGCTGGGCAGACCACACAGCGTGCACCTGCGGCTGCGGGGGCGGGGAAGGGCAGCGCCACCTCAAGCATTTCTCTAAAATGAACAAACTTTCCAGGCGTTGGGAGTCAGGACTCCTAGGTGGGCACCAGCATCAGAGCCCGTGCTGGCATCTGAGGGCCCCCGGCCCAAGGCTCCATCCCTGCCTTTTTCCCCAGAACAAAGTAAAGCCTCTGATCCAATCAGCCCTGCTCCCCCCGAAGGCTCCCCATCCAGTCCGCACGGTGACAGCGGCCAGGCGCACCCCAGCTGCCTAGGGAAATTCACGCATTTCCTCCTCCTTTGAAACTGACAACAACAAAGGCCCCCCCACCCCAGGGACGCGGAGAACACACACTACAGCCTACTGGAACAGACGGGAAGAAATGACCCTGGAGAAGACAGACATAGTTCAGGAAACCGAAGAAGACTTTAGGGAAAAAGAGAAACTCGAATGGGTACCCTCAGAGGGATCTGAGCTATTATACCCACAAGCCAAGACTAGGATGCTCTGAAAACAGAACAAAGAACAAGAAAGAGCTCTTGGAAACTAACAGAAGCGTTTTCTGGTTTTAAAAAGTGAATGGAGGAATTGAGAGGTAATGCCAAGGGGATTCCCAAGAACACAGAACAAACATACACCAACCAAAACCACGGTGGGGATGGCACCGCGCACGGGGGCGCAGTCCAGGAAAACGGCCTCAGAAACAAGAGCTTCGGAAAAAATTCCCACAGCCACGCGATAAGGGAAGTTATCAGAGGATTTAATCCAAGACTTCACATTAAAATGGCTCTCTGAGCACCAGCAAAGCGAATGAGAAATGATTCAGAACTCTGTAGCTACTTCTGAAGGGTCAGAAGAGCAAAGAGACAAAGAAAACACGCAGTGCTTGCAGACAGGAAAAACAGGTCAAACACAAAGGTTTGAGGTGCACGCTAGTATCATCCACACTGAGTATCATCAGACAACGCAGAGAACTTTCAAGGCTACATGAGAAACTTAGTGTGCCCAACAGTTAGTATTTTACACTCTAATGTGCGCTGTAATTTTATGTTTAACCAAATGATTACTAAGTCTGGGATAAAATTAACACATTTTCGATCATGCAAGGACTCAGAAGATAAACCTCTCACACATCCTTCTGTGGAGATGACATAACTCTGCCACAACGAAAGAAGAAGGACGACTAGTGAAAATGAAAGAACAGGACAAAAAGAAACAGCAGAATTAACCCTGATGTGCGCTGAAAGGAAGTCTACGAGAGTCGAGAGTCAGTCTTGAGACCAGCCCGTCCCAAGCAGCACAGCACGTGGGTGGGCTGCAAGCAGCGGCGTCGAGAAAAACCGGAATGGACCAGCCCAGAGGAACAGCAAGTCAGGAAGGACTCGTGACTCGCAACATGTCTCTACAAGCAAAAAACTCCAGCGTAAACAAAAACCACAAAACCGTATGAGAGGGTCGGGTCCTGGCATGGAACACACTAAAACGTGGCGTGATTGTGAGGAAGGGACTGGGGTCTACCAAGGGGGCACCGTTCACTCCTGGCGTGAGAAGCATTCTCCTCTGAGTGACCTATGATTTTGGACACTGAACCCGTGCGGAAGGCAGGTGACCCGACCTGGTTCCTGAATTACAGATCATTTTCAAGGCATACTGACATACGCTGATTGGCCTTCAACTTTTAAAATCAACTTGTAGGGAAAAAAAATCCAAGAGGATTTCAATATGGTTGCAGACGTAAATGTTAGGAAAGTAAACTGTCAAAGTAAAGACAGCTGGGGAAAAAAAAACATGGGAGAGAAGAGAAAAGGCGAAGGAGACGGCGGGGGTAAGTAGTATCTCATCTCAGACCACGAAGAATCACGATACAGCCTAGTGTTGATGAAACAAGGAGGACAAACCCCGACGTCATGCCTACGATTACCCAGGCGTCTAAACGCAAATCTTGGCTTGGGTTCCCCCAGCAGCAGACTCGGGCACAGGTAGCTTATCTGGGGGGTGAGCACAGCACTGGCAGAAGGGTAAGGAGGTGAGAGAAGGAGAGGAAGGCGTCTCAGAAGGGGCGCGCTCCCAGCCCACGATGCCTGTGGGGCTGCGCGCGGGGGCAGGCGGCTCCCGTCAGTGAACACCTGAGCCGGCAGGTGCTCCGAGCGGCACAGCCGAATGTGCACCTGCTGGGTCTTCCTGGTAAAAACCAGAAATGGAGATGCACTTCCAGCAGGTACCAATACCATGACGCATTCTGCGACGTCTAAGGCAGTGTCAGGGCAGAGGAAGACGGAAGCAGACGCCTGGAGTTGAGGCCACAAGGAAAGGCTAAGAACTGGAGGGTCGGGCGCTGGCGGGCTGAGTTCCAAAGGTCTGAGGAAGGTTGCAAACGGGAGCTGATGAGCCGTCTGCTTAGGAGCAGTTAGAGGAGGAGTCCCAGTGGAGTGGGGGTGCCTGGGGCCCCCTTCCGACTTCCCAGCGGTAACTCTGTCACCACTTGTAACCACTTCCAACGCCAAAAGCTCTGCCTCTGGCTCTGGGTCGGCTCTCAATTAACAGTTGCTGAATTGCTGAGCGAGCGAATGAGCGAGTGAACGAATGGGCATCCCACCAGGGTGGGCATGACCGGATGCTGCTACGGCAGCGCTCCCCGCCTGGCCTGAAACAGGTGCATCTCATGAGGCATCTCTTTCAGCCACAGCCACTCTGCTGTGGTGAAAACGGCTGCACACACGCAGTAAACACCCGCATCGTAGCAGTTGCCAAGCACAGTTAAGGAAATCTCTTCCGAAAAACAAAAGAGATAGAATTTAAATTTTCAGGTATCTTTGAAACCAGGTCAGTCCAGGAGGCCCAACAGCCAGTAATGAGAGTTCAAGAGCAAAATGACAGAAAGGAGAATATTATCTGAAAACCAGTGACTTGGTGAAGTTTATCAGAACTGAAAGCCATGAGTCAGACTGAAAGCGCCCATCAAATGCCCATCAAAACAGGTGGGAATAGACCCACATCACGGCTGATTACTTGGCAATTTCGGGGTATTGGTGATAAAGCGGAGACCCTAACGTTTCCATAGAGAAAATAAAGTTTCGTATACAAAGGAGTAGGAATCAAAATGTCTTTGATTCTCAATAGCAACACCAAACTAGGGGGAAAAATGCTTCCAACCTGGAATTCTATACTCAGCCAAACTGTCAGCCAGTGAAAACAGCAGAATAAAGCCATCCTCAAACCTCCGAGCCTTCAAGACATGTCTCGTCTTGGCACCTTTTCCAGGAAGCAACTTGAGAGACGCTTTGCTAAAATGGGGGAGGAGAAGTAAAGAAAGAATAAGATGCAGGACCCAGAAACCACGGGCTCCATCCCAGAAGGAAAGCAGAGAGTCAGGAAGGTCCAAGGATCTCCCAGGATGACAGCTGCCCGAGGCCTGGAGAGACGCTGTCCTGGCACAGGGGGTGGGGGCCTCCAGGAGGGGTGTCACCCAGGCCAGAAACTGATGGGTTCCTGAAATGTTTGAATATCTGGGGAAGAAACGGGCTTCTGGCAAACTTTCAAAAATGAATTTGTGATTGGTAAATAAAAAAAAAAGAACAATTGTTTTCTAAAAGAGACCATAACCAACACTGGGGGGCAAAGCTGCACGTGAAAAGCAGAGCAAGTCTGGCACGTGGCGAGTCTGGGCTCCAGGCGACGCTCACCTGGGCCAGGCCGCCGTGGGGGGGTGGGGCGGGGGCACAAGTGCGTGCTTTCTAGACCCTCCCCCTCAGAGCAGGAAGTCAGCACACCGTACGGCAAACTGTATGACACGAAATAGCACTAGAAACACCTAGTCTGGGATGTAGTGATCAATACCGAGCACCTCAGGAGCTCAGCGCCGCCCGCCAGCGGTGACAGGGCGAGGGCGCGGTGGGGCAGGGCACCGTCTCACCGCTAGCTTTAAGGGACTACGTGATTCCTCAGAGACACACCTGTGTACCTTTGTACTTGTGGACAGTGTGTACTTAAGGGGACCATTTATATGTGTAAAATAAAAATGACACTTAAAAAAAATGAAAGAAATGCGATGCTCTACTGAATGAGGATGCTTTTCTGAAACTTTCTTACTTCCGGAGATCAATGCAGTCTGCTGTTGGATACAAATTCCTTCATCTTCTTTTCCGGTCACGATTACAGCGGAGCAGCACATTAACCCACGCTGCGAAAGGGCCCTCTCCTCAGAAAATGGCGCCTCCTGGCTGTCTCTCTTTGTCGAGTCACGTGGACAATCTCAAAAACACTATTAGCAGGATCGTATTAATGATGCCGAGCAGAACTGTTTTGAGGATTAAATGCTTAGGAGACACTGAATGTGGGATCGCTATGTAAATTGCAAAGCAGGATGAGTAGTGTTGGTTACAGCTATAATTAGAGCTAACAATATAGAAGACTTGATCCAAAGCCAAAGTGCTTGATTAAGCGGTGTGCGCCACGATCAACAGATCCTCTCGTTCATCCCACCCAGAGGCCACCGCCAGCCGGGCGGGAGCGGCGGGGCCCTCCGGAGCACACCTGAGTCGGGGCTCACCGTGCATTATCTAAAACGCGGAGAAACAGCCTCACAGATGTTCTGGATAATGGCTGTTTGTCGTAGATATTATCTCCTTTGTCTGGGAACATGTACTCATGTTTACAGAAGCCCCTCTTGGGCTCCACATACTGCCTAATGATGGAAATGATTCTTTATAATGCAGCTGCTGGAGCACATTTTTTTTCCATGGAGAATCTAGCACAACCAAAACACAGCTTTGAGCTGACAGCCAGCTTAGCTTGGTCAGCCCGCTGCGGTGTCCGGCCGGTGCGACCCGGCTCTGCTCCTTCTTAACTGTTGCTAAATCTCGAAGAAGCCCAGGTTCCCAATCTCTAAAACGGTACTAGACAGACTTTCCTCCCCAGTTTTTATGCAGATAAGATATAACACGCACAACGTGCCCCGCACAGGGGAGACGTTCACAAGCGTGGACCTGTTATCGCTGTGTGTACGTGTACATTGAAACAATGCTGAGGGAAAACCTCACTGGCTTTATTTTTCTTGCATTCTCCCAATCCAAGCAGACACAGTGAATGTCTAAAGCACCAAGAAGAGCTCATCCCTAGACCCTCCAAACAGAACTGGAATTCAGCTAATATGAATCTCCCACGTGTGCGCCTGACGGTAACCACAATACAGAGCAAGAAGACCGCGCACTTTGGTGTCCAACCTTCGTTTGAGTCCAGGCGCTGCAAACTTAGAAACAAGAGGCCTTAGGCAGGTCACTTAATGCTTTGAAGCTCAGTTTCCTCATCTGTAAAATGAGGCTCATCCATACAGAGCACGGTTAGAAAGACACCACAGAAGCAGATTTTAAAAGGACCCAGCACAGTGCCCGCTTCGCTTCACGTGATCCACAGCACGTGGCGAGTTCTGCTACAGGACCCGCGGCGTCCTAAAGCCTCGCGCTGACGAGATGTGGAAACGCGCTCACAGGCCTGTAGACACTAGCTTTAAATAGCTGGCGTGCTTGAATATTCAAAGAAGAACACAGGCTTCGTGTCAGTATCAAGACACACAAAAGACTAGAGGTAACTTTCTCTTAAGGTTTTATCAGGTTTAAAATCACAAGAGTTCCGACAGCAAATTGTTTTCATGTTAACTAGCCCAAGACAGAAGCAGCAAGAAAGAATAAAGGAAAGAGAAGTTTGGCAGCCTTCAAGCCTTGCCTGGCCTCAGCTCTGACTCACCGAACGATCTTGGACGAGGACAAGGCTTTGTGCCGTGCTCGTGAGATGAGTCTCCCTCCATCCCTGCCACATTCAGCTTCTTCCTGCAGGTCCCGGCCGGTGCAATACGACAGGGAAAAGAAGGTGAAGGTGCAAGCATGCTAGAAGGTGGGCCAGGCCTGTGGTTACCTGCAGACAACGTGGCGGTCTCCAGAGGACATTCTAGAAGACGCACAGACAGACAATGAGGCTTTAAGAATCCAACTAGACGTGCAGGCGCAGATGGACACACACACAGAACAAACGTTCCTTTCCACCAAGGATGACCCTTTCGAGAGCAGAACTAGAAAAGACAAGATTTTTTTTTTTTAACAGCAAACACACTCCTTGGAGCTCAGGAACAAATCGAACAAGAGATGCGCACAACCTTCCTGGGGGACGTTATTATTAAAAGACATGAAATGCAACTGAGAAAGTGTAGAGACAAGAAACACATTCATGGTCCAGAAGACTCGGCATAATGACAGCAATTCTCCCCAAAAGTGATCTGTAAACTTAACAGAATTTCAGCCAACGCCCAGCGTGACCAGGGGTGATCTTGCCCCCAAGTGGACACTAGGCGTCTGACGGTGCACTGGCACGAGACCAAGGGAGCAGTCAATCATCCTTCAAAGCACAGGACAGGCCCCCACGACACAGGGTGCCCCGGCCCCAAACGTCCACAGGGCCCAAGTGGAGAAACCCTGGTATCAGCGAGGGAAGATTCGGAATATATAAGATTAATTTGAAAATGAAGAACATGGAGCGGGGGTTGCCTTACAAAATATGAGGGCTTGATATGAAATTTTAGGAATTAAAACCATGTGGAAGTAGCAGGGATAGATGCATTTTTAAATGCAGCAGAATAAAAAGCCAACCCACCTCAGGGTGGGCGCAGCGGCAGCACAGGCTGATGGGGTGCGAGGGAGGCTCTCCTTCATGGGCGGTGTTGCAAAAACAAGATGAAAGCAGGTTTCCTATTCACAGCACACACAGAAACAAACTAGGGATGGGCATGAGGCCTTTAAAAATCTTAAGCTCAGTCTAAGAAACTACAGACTTAGAAAGCAAAGAATTGCTTCTTTAAAAGTTATTTTTTTAAAAAGGTGACTATGTGAAAGGACGAATGCGTTACCCACCTCGGTTGCAGTAACTGTTTCACAGGGTGTATGTACATCAGGTCGTCATGTTGTGCACTTGAGGTGTATACAGCTTTACACGTCAGTTACACCTCGGTGAAGCCGATGGAAAAAGTTATTGAAAACAAAATGCAGATTTACGGTGAGGGCCTCGGCCACTTTGGTGAGCTCCTCAGTTTTCTTGGGTCTCAGTCATGTATACTTGCTATTCAACTTTCATGTGATTTTCTCCCATTTAAAAAGAATGCAAAGAAAAACAGTCATAATTTGGTCAATTCAGAT